TCGTATTTCCTCGGACGATTCGGCCAGCAAATGATCCACATACAAACAGATTCCAGCCCCGCTGCAATCAACAGAAGCGTGTGAGCACATAGTGAGTTCGAAAGTTCATGTCAAGTCGTAATCTTTTTCATTTTTCAGAAACTACCTGAGAGTACCAAAAGGACGCCAGATAACATCCCATCGAAACCTAGGCAAACTGCAATCAATACAAACATTACAAACTGTAAATTCATTATCATCAAAATAACAAGCTTAAGATCACCCTTACAAGGGCATACCAACAAGTATGAAAAATGACCAAAAGGAAAAAATTCGTTGGAAGAGGCACTATATAACTACTACTATTTGTGCATTATGACTACACTGTACTTTGCTTATTCTATCTCTCTTCTGTTATTACATGTCGAATACCCTCTTGTAAGGTTGTATCTCAACCTGCCATGGTAGTGAAAACCTCTCTTTCCTGCTACTGTACATTTCAGCAATGAAATTTTCTTCTTACATACATGAACTAGACATACGAAGCTGATATAGTTCGCCATTCACAACATACTGCTCTCTAGGAAAATGGGCAAAAGAACCAAAAACAAGAGCATTTGCATCCATCAACAAACTAGGAAAAGAAGAGATTTTAATAGACAAGTCAGACATAAAGTATAGGCCAGTATGTATATCTTCATTCAGGAGCATAATTTTAGGAAAAAAAAATGATTTGAGAGTTTTCCCACCGTACCTAATCATAAAGTATAACCAGAAAACTGAGAGTAGGAAGCCAATGAAGAACGAGCACCATAGCCATCGCCTGTGGTAATTTGACTTGCTAACAATCCCAATGATCGAAAATGAACATGCTAAAATAGCAACCCAATCTGTAGAATTTCAATTGTTGATATTAGCAAGCAAAGATCTCAACAGAGCATCACAGTATATAACTTAAAAACATGACTACAGCTCAATAGAACACGGAAGTGAACTTGGCCATTGCAATATTTGGATATGGGGGGGCCTTTCTTGTATTTCCATTTTGTTCAAGAAATGTTATGTTTTTAAAAAATAAAAGAAACTTTGCCGTGAAATTATCTTCAACATTTGAAGCAAATTGACGGGGTGAGAATCAAACATGCAATAATGAGTGTAAAATAAAGGAGAAATTTGTGAAAAAGAACCTGCAGCTATAATCATCCATGAGCTAACATCCTCCATAAAGTAAGCATGATAACGCTGCAGAAGAGAAAAAAGAAACATCAGTATAATGCAAACTCCATAAGTTTAATGTATCCTTTGCAAGTAACGCGTTCGTCACTAAAGCATATAGAAGTATAACAATTAAACTGGAGTTAAGTTCTTTCAAACTACTGCAAAATATGAACACCATCTGAAGAGGAACAGTGCAGGGCAGGATAAGATTCTCAGAGAAAGTAGCATACCAGTTCCCATGGAGATGAAACCTGCTGAATGATTGAGTAAAGAAGGAAAACCGCGAAGCAAAAAAGAAATGCCGCAAACACAGTCTGATGAACAGTCAGGCACAGAGAAGAACAACAATCAGACACGAGAATCCAAAATTTTCTTCGAATACAGAAAAATTAGGAAAAATCCGTAGATGAATATACAGTCAAACGATACCCTCCATAAAAGACTCTGTTGATCATTTGCCCTTTCGAAGGAGCGAACCATCTCCTCTTGCGCTGTCAATCAAACACCGAATTAGGGCAAAAGTACAACAAAAAGGAAGAAATATGGGAAATTAGTTCAAAGAATGAATCAAGTAAAGATTTCTACTAGAAGAGAAACTTCAGAGAGAATTGATTGATTACCTTGGCTGTCGATGGGACGGGAATCGTCAATGGATGGATCATCCCGAGTGGGTAGAGACAAGCCATCTTCCCGAGATTTCATCAAAACTCTAGCCAACTTCTTGATCGCCATCGCCTACTCCGTGATCAGGTGGTTCAGGGTTCGCAGCCAAGATTGAAGAAGCCACAGCCAGATAGCCGTAGACTAAACCACCGCCTTCGTTACGAACCCTAACCAGCGCTAACTCTAAGTCAACAAAGCCAATCCAGTCCTGCTCCTAATTCAACAACTGCACAATTGGCATTTACCTCAATCCAAATAATAATAATAATAATAATAAAACAATTTTCTATTTTTTTTTTACTGGATGATATATATATATATATATATATTTGTTTGGTTTGAGTTAATTCTTTTAATAAATAAATGATTTTAAAAATCAAGTTTTAATTTTTTTTTTTTAAGAATTATAATTATGAAATAGCTATTGAAATGGTCACACTCCTTTTATAACAAATATTATTATGTGTCACAATCGTACCACAGTTGTTCTAACTTAACCATAGTAAAATATCAATTATACTACAGTTGTTCTAACTTAATTAATAAGTCAGCAGTGCCAAATTCAAATTTTGCATATAATATTAGCGGACATTTAAAAAATATTTTAAAAAAATATGAGATAATAAATACATTGGAAAGAAATCAAAATTACAAATTAAGAGAGAGGGAATTTACAACTAATTATTTTCTTGTTTTTCTCTATTAAATTTAAATAAAATATACAATTATTTAAAAATAAAATAAAAAGGAAAATGGACATGTTCCATTTTCGGACTACAACCCCCAACTTCGTCCCCTTCGCGGGGATGTTTCACCATTACTCTTTCTCTCTCTCCATAAATATATACTATTATATACATATTAATATATTAATAAAAAATATATAATTATATTTTTAATATAAATAAAGTATTTTCTTATAAATAATAATCCTATTCGCCTGTGAAACTACAGAGCTTTAAAACTATTATTCACAAAACCGAAATAATGAATAAAATGTTTTTCTTACAAAAATTTAATAAAATAAAAAAATCCGATCGAGATAGCGACAAGATTCGCGATATCTAGGCAACAACGACAACCCCACAAACGATATTAGAGACCACCCGCAACCGTAAACATTATCCGAATTGGTTTGCCAGCGTGTCACTGTCAAAGCATCTGATTGGACATTTACTTGGTGCAGTTAGGTTGCCACGAGTGAGGTTAATATTTCCCCCTTCATCTCATCCGCTTATCAAACCAAATCCAAATCCAAATCCAAATCCAAATCCCTCTCCCTTTACCTCACTCACCGTCAATTTTTCTTTTTCTTTTTCTTTTTCTTTTTTAATTATAAACATTTATATTTAAAAAAAATTAAAAAACAAATTGATCTTATCCACTTTCACTTCCACTAATCAGAAAGTGCTTCCCCCTCTCTTTTTTAAGGGTTATTCCATGCTCTCGTTCTCAGTGACATAAAAGCTACGTGGATTATACTTTATAGACAAATGGGTCTAATTTTAATTATTTCCAAGCTTTATAATGTTTTAAATCTATAATTATACGTCCACGTCACACTTATTAATAAGTTAATTAAGTGAGCATGTCATCGTCATCGTCAGCACTATAGGATAAGACAAATTTAGTTGTCCCTTTCCAACTAAAATAACTAAGACATCCAACTTGTAAATTTACTATCCATATATAAATATAAAACTGAAAAATATCTTCTTTTGTTTTACCTTCAGTCAAAAAATTATTGTTAATTTACGGCAATGTCGAGGCTGTAGGGGAGTCCACGTAAGGCTGCGTTTGGCTAGGACGTAGGAACCTCGGTGTCCATTCACACTGTGTCCATAATGACACGTTTACGGTCAAACAGGCCGTAGTGGACGCGTGGATTAATTTTACGGCACAAAAGTTTCTGTCGCTTGTGGGGTAGGTGTTCAAATTTTGACACGTGTTTACGGAAGAAGTAATTTAATTTAAGTTAGTGGGAATTCTGTGTTTGTCGGTATATAAGTCCTTCGTTTGTGCCATGTGTCCCTTTGCGTTGTGTCACCTTCCTAAATCTTGCCATCTGTTGACTGTGCAAGCGATGTGCCACGTCAGCGAGAGTGACATAAATTCAAATAATATAATATATATATATATATATATATGCTACATTTTCTTCACAAATGGTAGTCTTATGGCATTCTTTGTGAGAATTTAAAATATTATTTAAAAGAAAATGTATGATTTATTTTGTTGAATTAACTTAGGGTTAGATTTTAGGGACTTGTTGCATGTAGGTGAGCATTTATTTTTTATGTATGATTAATGTGATGGGGTTTCATTTTGATTTGATAGATGTTGACAATATATGTATAATATTGGGGTTATTTAAATTTAACCAAATTTAAAAAAATATTATTACGTGGCAGTAGGGCCCACCGGCCTTGTCGTATGGTCAAGCAGCCATCCTTTGCCATTTTCGAACCAACAAAATGAGTGCTATTGTCTAAAGTTTTGAAAACCTTTTTGTAATAATAATGCATCAAAAATATTAATTCGTAAATAAAAATATTTATTTCTAAAATATTTTTGTAAAAAGAAATAATAGGAGGGTGATCTGGAAAGCAGTAAAAAGAAATTTTGAGATTCTATTTAAATTTTGTTTTGCTTTTTTAAATAAGGATAATAACGAATATTTTATTAAAAAAATAGATGTCTCGCCTATTAAACTATTACAGTAAAAAAACGAGGAGGGTAATGTGGACAAGCTATAGTTATCCGTTAGAAGTATTTAATTTTCTATGGTTACGTAAGTTGCGAAAATAAATGGTGTTATTAATTATGTGAAAATGGAAATTTATAAGACAGTACGGTGACCGTATGATGAGTAACAGTACATGTAAGATCGTGCCACGTGGGGTTGAGGTTACTATAATATCCCAATATTGACGTCCTGGAACTCTCTAGAACCGTTGTTTTTAATCTGACGGTAACGGCTGGGGGTGACTACAGAAGTCACGTTACCGTCTTTTTTTTCTTTTTTAACCGAGGCGAAAAATGGGTAATGAAGTTGAGTTATTTAACTTAACCACGGTTGAGTTAACCTAATCGTAGTAGATGGTTTGGTTCTCAAGTAGTTTATAAACGCCATGGGTATGGCGGTTGTTTTGGCAAGGTGTTTCGTCTGAAACTATAATCCTCCACCGTCACTCTCCGGTTGAAAATGGTGATCGGCCAACGCCACCGACCTGGTCCGTTGCTTCACATCACTCCATTGATGATACCAGATGAACCTGCGAACGAGACGCGGCTTCCTTTTCCTCTGAGTGGAATCTCGGTGAGTTCTGATGACAATGCTAACGGCGGCGATTATTCTCCCTATCATTTGCAGGAAGTCCTAGCGGCATTTCAGCAATATCTGCCTTCGACGAGTGAGTCGGAGATTGAATCTGATTTGGAGTTGTCCGGCCGGGAATCGGATGTTCCGGTGGATGCTTACTCTTGCGATCAATTTAGAATATTCGAGTTCAAGGTGAGGAAGTGTACGCGTGGACGGTCTCATGATTGGACGGAGTGTCCGTACGCTCATCCTGGCGAGAAGGCTCGCCGGAGAGATCCGAGGAAGTATCATTACTCCGGTACGGCGTGCCCCGACTTTCGAAAAGGTAGCTGCAAGAAAGGCGAGTCGTGCGAGTTTGCGCATGGTGTATTTGAATGTTGGCTCCATCCTGCACGTTACAGGACTCAGCCGTGCAAGGACGGGATCAACTGTCGTAGGAGAGTTTGTTTCTTCGCCCATACTCCCGAGCAACTTAGGGTTTTGCCTCAGCAGAGCCCGAGAGACGCGAATTCGCCTGACTCATATGATGAATCTCCTCTGCGGCAGTGTTTGGATGGAACCTGTGCGAAATCGCTTCCGTTTCTGTCTTCTCCGTTGTCTGTTTCGCCGTCGGCGACTCCAGTTGACTCTCCACCCATATCGCCGATGACTAGGTCGCTCGCCCGGTCTCTTGGCTCAAGTTCCGTCAATGAAATTGTCGCATCCCTCCACATGCATCTAAGCAAGGTGAATTCTCTACCATCTTCCTGGAATGTTCAAATTGGATCTCCCGGTTATCCGTCTCGAATCCGCCCTGGATTTTGTAGCCTTCCAACAACACCAACTCAGCCTCCAACAGGTCCAGGAGTTGGGTTGCTAGACTTCACGGACCATGGATTCGTGGAGGAACCGGCAATGGAGCGAGTCGAATCGGGAAGGGAGCTGAGGGCAAAGATGCTGCAGAAACTGAGTGAGGAAAATTCTTTGGACTTGGCTGATTCAGGCCCTTCAGACTGCACACCGGACGTTGAATGGGTATCAGATCTGGTAAACTGAGTCTGGAAATTCAACTTTTGGTTGGTTAAAAGGGAGTTTTCTCTAATCACCATTCAATTCTGATTTTATGAAGGGAAAAAAAAAATATATAGCCTAAGCTATGCCGTTTGTTTCATATGTATATACATAATGGAAAGTAAGCTGAACTGATGAAGATAGGATTGAATTATTACTTGTATGAGCCTTAAATATCTGTATATATGGCTCTGCTCTAGATTTTGATGGAGAAGAAAAGAATTCCGTCTGACTTCATGTATAGCTAATTAGTACTGATCGATCATTGTGATTATGTTGGAAGTTAATGTTATTCCTAATGCAATTTTATGGATGAACTTGATTGAAATTACTGATCCAGATATTGTTTTTGTTTGTGATGAGCTTTCGTGTTGGTCATGCAAAATTGGAGGAGATATTTCCATGATTCTGCCCCTGCTTTTACAGGGAATAAGATAAATGCAAATATTTTCCATACCTGAAACAGGGGAATTCAGATATGGGGGAATCGATTCGAGAGTAACTTGAAAATTGAAGTGAATCTTTATGTGTTGACCTTTCCAAACTCGTGCTTTTGTTTGTTTGTTTGTTTGTTTGGGATTGAAGTATTATATTAATTTTAATTGAATTCAACAAATGGGTAGTAATTTGATCTTACTTTTAAGGTGTAAATTGGATATGTATTGATATATTCAAAATTTTAGGGGTCGAGTTTTGGGCTTAAATAATATATGAATGATTCTTCAACCATCAACCGGTATGTGTTACCAACTCGAGAAGCCAACGTTTAGGAATCGGGTTATTTTAACAGTTTAAATGGGCTTCGACTTGATTTCAGTGGGTTTTTTTACGACGATGTTCATAGTCCGTGAGTGCTCTACATGATTCTTTCGTGGAAGTGTTCGTAAATTCAGACTAGTTGTCTTCCCTTTGTGTCCACCAGTATTTTGTTTGTTCCATGTGTAATAGCTTAATAGATATTATTCGCTTTTTAACTCTTTACGTATCTATAAGACGTGTTATGTTATCTTTTGTTATCTTTTTCAATCGACGTGAGACCTCATATCAACCCCTTTTGAAGCGAGCTTTGTGGCTCACACATTACTCGATATCTGGCTCTGACACTATTTTGTAACATTTCAAATCTATCGCTAGCAAATATTGTTCGCTTTAACTTGTTATGTATCGTTATTAGTCTTACGATTTTACTATTTGGGAAGGATTTTATGGCTTTATAATAAATATTTGGTTCTTACTGTTCTAATTCTGATTTCATTTGTAACATTTTCAAGAACATCTGATTTCATTTGTAACATTTTCAAGTTCTTTGTTATTAGATATTGTCCACTCTAGCTTGTTACACTATTAGGAAGATATTTTCACACCATTACAATGAAATGCTCCAAACTGTGTATGCAACTTTTAAGCCAATTGATCCACCAGTAGCGTCCCAATGTTACTTTGGGTGTCTTGACGCTGTGATGTTCAACTTCATGCCATGCTTGATGGTACGAATGACTGCTCAATGATGAAGATTGTCTCGATGTTGGTGTCTGACCCTCAATTGCATACCTTGTTAAGTCTCAACCACCCAAACATTATTATCCCTAAAACATAATAAATTATTGTAATTAATTTATGTAAGGTCTCACGTCGAGAGGGAAACAAAACATCATTTATAATGGTGTGAAAACATCTTCCTAATAGACACGTTAATCATGAGACTGACAAGCTAAAACGGACAATATCAGTGTGCCAACGAGGACGTTGGGCTCCCAAGGAGGTGAATTGTGAGATCCCACATCGGTTAGAGAGAGAAACGAAACATTCTTTATAATAGTGTGGAAACCTCTCTTAACATATGCATTTTAAAACTGTGAGGCTGATGACGACAAGCCAAAACGGACAATATTTACTATCGGTGAGCTTGGGTTGTTACAAATTGTATCAGAGTTATACACTGAACAGTGTGCCAGCGGTGACGCCCCGAGGTTTGAGCTCCAGCGTTAATGTGTGAAGAGGGCAAAGTGAGAAACCAGGTAAAATACGGTAAGGAGTAAGAAAGAGTAACAATATAAGCAAAAAGCATTTGGTATTTAGAGCTTGAAATGGCAACCAGTTCGGAGAGCAGAAGCATGCCGTCTCCATGCGTTCCCCACATGTGCACCCTCCCTTTGACCACTCCCTCTTCTCCCTTCCCATTGCCCACTCCCCATCATACTATATATATATATACCATAGCTCCATCCATGGCGGCCCTCTCTCGCTAAACTCGTCTCCTTCTCCATGGGAAGAGCTCCTTGCTGTGACAAAGCCACTGTCAAGAGAGGCCCATGGTCTCCTCAAGAAGACGCCACTCTCAAAGCCTTCATTCATAAACATGGCACTGCTGGCAACTGGATCGCTCTCCCTCGCAAAGCTGGTTTTTTTTTCCTCTTCTTTTTCTCTTCGTCTTACACAAGTTTGTTATTGTTTAACCGGTTGCCCGGCCTGTTTCGTGTTTCTCCGCATAGGACTTAACCGCTGTGGCAAGAGCTGTCGTCTCAGGTGGCTGAATTATCTCCGACCAGACATCAAACATGGTGGCTTTACCCTCGAGGAAGACAACCTTATTTGTACCCTCTATTCCACTCTGGGAAGTAGGCAAGTGAAACAAAGTATTCTTTAGGGTTAGGTTTTATTATTTGATTTAATTATTTGAATTAGATTTTAAATAGTCCTACTAAATTTATTTTCAATATATTATGTAAAGCTATATATTAGCCAATTTCAAATTGTGATATTTCTCTTCTAATCTTTTTTAAGAAGGTAAGAGGGATGATATCATTTTTTTTAAAATTCAGGTGGGCTGTTATTGCATCACAATTACCGGGAAGAACCGATAACGATGTAAAAAACCACTGGAATACGAAGCTGAAGAAGAAATTCAATTCATTTTCCGAACGGTCAGCTCCCACAATCGCCGCCGTAACCCAGCAGAATGCGATTACCAACATGGCATTTCCAGCCAACGCGCCGCCGTATTCCGCTGCTGCAGATTGGTTACGATTCGATGAACAAATGGACGGAAACTTGATGTTTGCAGATGCTAATTTTGATTTCAAGCACGACCCAGAAGATCAATTCCCGATGTTGTGGAACCCACAAGAATTATCCACTTCCTCGTCTAATTCTTCGCTACCTGTAGAGCAAAACCAGGTCCCATTTGGTGGGAACGACGGCGAAACTGTACTGAGTTATGGGTTTTATCAATACCCATATGGAGATGTAATGGAAGGATTGGATTTCAAGTAAGATGGGATGAATTAAGGTTTAATTAAGGAGTTAATTAGGATTGATTATGGTAATTAATTAGAGTGGGAGGACTTGGTCAAGAAAGGACATGTTGTGTTGTTAGAGTTTGTTTGAATATCATATGGTTTCATTTGATGAAGTCAGCGAAGACTTTGTTTGTTTCTGACTCGTCAGTGCTCACAAATCTTGTGTTTGTTAAAGCTTAGAATTTCTTTTTATTTATTTATTTTAATTTGACTACAAGCTCAAAATGTCCATGTTTCCCTTTTGTTTTTTTTTTCTCCTTCATAATATTAGTAATATTCAACGTGGAATTGATATTTGATTGAATGTTTATAGTCGATATTAGAATATAGTCTTAAATGAATAAAGTAGATAAGACAACTTTATTAGACATGTCTTTGTGCATTAATTACTAGATATGTTCATTTTCCTTGTAGAGTCTAAATAGAGAGGGATTCCCCGTCTAGACAGGAAATTGAGGAGGCAGTGGGTAACATTTTTTCTCAAATGGGCTTAGTGTCTAGGTTTGATACTATTTGTAACGACCAAAGTCAATTGCTAGTAAATATTGAATCCCTAATGAGGTGAACACTAGGCAGTGTGCTAATTGGGACATTATGCCTTGAAGGAAGGTAGATGGTGAGATACACATCAATTGGAGAACTTGTAATGAAAAGACAAAGAATAATATATGCAAGAGGTAGACTTGGGTCGTTTGCAAATATTTAAAAGTTTTTTAGACCAAAATGTATTTTTATTGATTTAGTTTAACAAAAAAAAAAAAAAAAAAAAGATGAACTTTAAATTTTATTAGAACATAAAAGATATTTTTTCTGAAGTCCGAATGAGCAACAAATGAAAACTTCCCGCCTTGCCAAACGGCTTCACTCTTCCCGCATTTCTCTAGAGCCTTCTCCGACACTCTTAATCTTAGGAGGATCAATGGTAACGTTTCTCCTCAAACCCTAATTTACTAATTCTTTTTCATCTTTCATAGCAGTATATGCCTTTTCTTCAAGTTCGTTTATTAGCATTCGTTCATGTAAAATAGTTGCGATTGTCTGCATGACCTAAAATTCAACGAATTAATAGTATTAGATCATGGTCTATGAAAATCTTCCGTCACGCTCGAAATTCGTTGATTTCCGCTCAGAATAAGCTACAATCTTCGATCAGGTGTTGTTCTTTTCTTTCGTGTTTGACAGGTTCATTTTCCTTAACTGCCTGCAGAAAGATTAGCGTTGGAGTGATTTTGATCATTATCGATGATCGGTTTATGATATGTAGTTTAAGGGGTAAATGTTGTCCAATGTGTTATCTGAAAATGAGTTTTATTCGCTTGTTAACCAGCATTTTGCCAAACGGATCCTTCACTATTAATTAAGAAGGATTCTTCTTCTAATAAAATTTCGGGATTTTCTGGTTTTAATAAGGCTTACTCAATTGCTACTGTGGACTTGTTGTTAGGGCTCGTACTACTCTCCGCTTCATGATATTAACAAAATAAATTGTTTGTGATCTAACATTGGTGCACTTCCTGGAATTTAATTTAAGCAACAGTCTAAGAAAATAGGCCTTTCACTGGAAGAGAAGCGTTAGAAGATGCTTCCGTTGTTTTACGAGTCTCAAGACTTTTTCCTTGTGCGTACACTTGCATTTTTATTCCTGAATTTGGATGTCCCGTGATTTCATTTTCTGCTGCTGTTTGATTAGAAGGATTTCATATTTTCGCGACAGTATATCCTTTTTACTTCATTATTTATAAGAAGCCATTTTTTTTTTTTTTGAGTTTCAGCTTAAGGAGCTTGAAAAGCTGGGTCCTAGGAAAGGTGTGATTTCTCAGTCAGTGAAAGATGTTGTGCAAAGTTTAGTGGATGATGACCTTGTTTCAAAAGAGAAGATTGGAACTTCAGTGAGTTATAGTTTTGAGATGAAATCTTCAGTCATCCATTATTTTGTTTATCCTGTTTGCATCGCGACATTATTGTTTGCATATGGGTCACAGCCTTTAGACACTATAGTCTCTCGTGCTTTGTGAATGTGATTTTCAATTTGAGTATACATTTTGTGATTGGTTTTGTAACTTCAGGTCACCAAGCTGTGCTGGTAATCAGGTGAAGTCTACATCATTCTTATCATTACTTCCCGTACTCACTTCAGACGCTTGGTATTTATGATGTCCAAGCTCACTCTAAATTTTAAACCATTTAAATGTTCATTGATTTTTTACTTCCAAAAATGTCGCATGTCTCTATTCTTTCCAGCTGAGGAATGTGTATCTTAAACTCGAACTGATCTCCAAACCAGTAAGAACAGACTGGAAGAACTTACTCAGCAGAGTAATGCATTAAAGAAGGGAAGAGAGGAATCTGTGAGTGATTATACTTTAAGCGAAAGGTAAATTATGAAAATTAGTTCCCTCTAGGTCATGAATGATTTCTTTATGTCAGGGTGAACGTGAGGAAGCCCTAGCTGAATTGAAAGCCATTGAACAGCACAAAGAGCTAAAGGTTTTGCTTGTATTCTGAATTTTATTTATTTATTTGTAAAAAAAAATCAATTCCGATGATCTTTTTCGTTTTCACATGAATTTAACAATCTAGTCACTCTCAGGATGAGATGATACAGTATGCAGATAATGATCCAGCTGCCTTTGAGACAATGAGTTGAGTTTCTTTTGCATGTTTTCGATTTATATGATAGAAAATGGGTATCAGCTGCTTAACTCTTGATATCGCTGTGCTAAACTTGAAGTTAATGGTTGTGTGAATTCGACAGAAAATGCAATTGAAGATGCGCATGCTGCAGCCAACCGATGGACAGGTATGCATTCTGCACATAAGCTGCCAACAAGTTTTCAATGTTTTCCCTTGTTTCTCGCGTGCCCACTTGTAATTTCTTTCGAAACTCTGTTAATTGCACGCAGACAACATTTTCACTTTGCGACAATGGTGTTCAAACAACTTTCCACAAGCCAAAGAACAACTAGAGAACCTGTACAAAGAGGTAAAGCACAAAAAAATGCCCTCTGCAAGAATTAGCGATATGCTAAAATAGCACGCACGTAAAGTTTCTTATCTTCAACCTTTTATAAAACATTCTTTCCACAGTTTTGAAAGGACAAGAAAGTAACTTATTACTTCCCACTTTCAACCTTCAAACATTTATCACCTCCAAAGGACGTTTGCATGTATCTTGTTAAGAACTCTCCGAGTTATCGGTTGTGTAAATGCAGGTTGGTATGACGGACGATTTTTGATTATTTGGAGTTGTCATCAGCCCCTCTTGAGGTCAGTCGTGAATTAAGAGGCTAGAAGCTCCAAGCTGATTCAACCATATGCTTTATATGTCTCAATGATTCTGCGGCAACCGTTATAGATCATGGGTAAGAGTTTGTGTCACCTGAAATTCACCCATCATATATAGAGCTTCCCTGTTCATTCATTATACGTGGTAAATAAGAAACCTGTCAATTCTTAAATCAATTTAGTTCCGTTCCCAGATCACTCGAATATTGGATTCATGGCTCTCATGAATCTGTAATTTGTTTATAAGCATGGGATAAGTGAATTTGTTGTATGTATTGGAATGAATTCCTGTCTTTCGAGCTATATGTCCGAGTTTACGGAATTCTTGTGTAATCCGTAGTAAATAACCAACACAAACTCAAAGCATGGATTTTCAAAAAACCAACTCAAACTTAAACTTAACACATGGTCTCTTTGTGTAACTGAGACACTTAACCCGTCAGCTCCATATTAGGTCAATACTAACCACAGGAATGGTATATTCATTTACAGAATATACAGGACCAAAAATAAAATTGCATTATTATCTGGTAATGTCACAAAGAAACCTGTTGATCAGGCTTTGCTGAACTTGGCAAAAAATGCTCAAATCTTTGGTACATCCTCGGGCCAATTCTTCATATAGCGTCTCTCTTCGAATGTTAATCATGCTTACGCCACCTGCATAATTCCATAAAAAAACATTTTAGCCTTGACAGCCTTGACAGCCTTGTAGCTGCTCTAGATGCAAAGTTGGGTACTGCACAAATTTTGTTGGGACAAGCATGCAGGATATTCATTTCATAGGCTTAGAACGGTAGCAAAGGGGGAAATAATTCATCATAAGATTAGCCCAAGGCCTTGCTCCAAGACCATAATGGATACCAAATCAAAGAGCCATCTCAGCCTGCAGTGCTGCCAGTTCATCTTCTTCAGCAGTTCGTTTTGGAGCAGGTCGAGCAGTTTGTCTGCCTGCCGGGACAGGAATTGGCGCAGCAGGAGCAGTTGTTGCAGGTTGAAGAAGTTGTTCTTCCAACTCTGCACCTTCTAGCTCTTCAAGTTCTGCTTCCAGTTCATCCTGTGCGTACAAACAAGTGTTTAGTGGAAGAAAAACTTTACAAAACTGCAGGGACAAATGGTAGAACACACGGAAAGTGACTAAAAACCTCATCAAAATCAGCTGAAGCACCAATTGGATTTGATAATGCTTCTTGGATCTGTTTCATGTTCTCGGTTTGTTCATTGATCTCGTCCATTGTTTTATCGACATCATCGATATTCCTGCAAAAGGAGACTCTTAAACATCCAATTTCATAAATTGTAATGGAAACATTCGGCCCTCGGGCATCATGCGTCGTTATGCTCTCCCAGCACATCATTCCGAAGATTTTCACAACCTTTGGATGGGTAAAGAGAACCAAAAAAACAAATAATGAAACTACATTGAAAGAATGTGGTAGTTACGTTGCTTTCTGCATTGCTTTCATTGCAGCTGCCCCGGTCCTCAATGCATCTACAGTCTCAGTTGTGGCTTTTGCACCTTCTAATAATATCATCTGCACCCCAAATATTTACAACTCACAACGTTAGATACACAAGCACCAAAAAAGCAAACATGAATACATCAAACTAGTCTTTTATCCAAGCCCACCACCAACAGATATTATCCTCTTTGGGTTTTCTCTTTCAAGCTTTCTCTCAAGGCTTTTAAAACGCGTTTATTAGGGAGAGATTTCCACACTCTTATAAGACATGCTTCGTTCCTCTCTCCAGCCAATGTGAGATCTCACAATCCACCCCCTTTGGGGGCCTAGCATCCTCGCTGACATACCACCCAGTGTCTAACTCTTATACCATTTGTAATAGCTCAAACTCATCACTAGCCGATATTGTTCTCTTTGGGCTTTCCATTTCGGGCTTCCCCTCAAAGCTTTAAAACGCGTCTGTTAATAGAGGTTTCCACAGCCTTATAAGGCATGCTTCGTTCCCCTATCCAGCCAATGTCGGAACTCACAATAACAATATAGCATAAAAAAATCACCTGATCATGGATCCGCAATTGGAAGTTGCCGAGCTGCTCTATCTGCTGCTCATATAGCCTCTTCCTCTTCAAACATTGTATAGCAGCTATAAAATAAAAAAGAAGTTAATATTGAAGCAACATTACCACCAACTACAATTTGAAATGCAACCTGAACGCAGGAAAGATCCAACATCAAAGGAGGAAACAAACGGTTCCTATCATAAACTTCTCCAAGACGCATGAATACTTGGAACTAAAGAAGTCGACAGGATACCAGAAATTTGTGATGGAAGTTGGGGCATACTATAAATGAAATGCAAATACCCCAAGATCAAGAGGTATAACTAACTGATGATCTTGCACCCACGCTGAAAATTAAACACATCCCCAACTTGGATAAGAAACAAACATAACTAGCAGAGCTGAAATTTAGAAATAGAAGAGCATAAATCAACGAATGACAGAAGGCCAAAACAAGCCATTTACCATTATTAATAACATGAATCGTTAAAACTTGACTGTAACTGTAACAGCCTAATCTCACCGTTAGCAGATATTGTCCGCTTTGGCCTGTTACATACCACCGTCAGCCTTGCGGAAATGTGTCTGCTAGGGAGAGGTTTCTACACCCTTATAAGGAATACTTCATTCTCCTCTCCAACCAATGGGGGATCTCACAATCCACCCCCCTTAAGCCCAGCGTTCTTGCTGGCACACCGCCCGGTGGTGTCTGGCTCTGGTACCATTTGTAAACAACTCAAGCCCATCTCTAGTAGATATTGTCCGCTTTGGCCCGTGTATTACCGTCAACCTCACGATTTTAAAACACATCTACTAAAGAGAGGTTTCCACACCCTTATAGGAAAAACCACGTCTACTAGGGAGAAGTTTCCATACTCTTATAAGGAATGCTTCGTCCCGGATCTCACAGTAACCACACATCAATAAGTATTGAAGTACTCTTTACATGTAGGGGAGTCCAAAGACTACAAACATTTCAAATGGGAAAAAGTCATAAGAAGGAAAAGATGACAGGGTTGGATACTGGAGAAGAAGTCCACCATTAACCGAACTTGCACCAAAGAATCTATTCACTCTATCAATAATCGAGCCGGATCTAGTATATCATAAGGTATTTGTCTTTTCTACCGATTCCTATAGATTGGATCAAAAACAATTATTGAATGAGGTATTCAACTTCAAGAATGTATAGAAAACAAATTTGGATATCAACATCCGAGGCCCCTCCCCTCCATCCCCCGAACAAAGTAGAAGAAGAAAAGATAACAAAATCATTGGTTGTTTCATTACTAAGCCACCCTTGACGTTAATCATCAACAAGTTCATCATAATATCACAATAGTTTGCAAGTACTTAACGCCAAAATGTTTCGTTCAATAGTAAACTGCCATACCTCGCTTGTTCTTTGCTCTGGTATAATCTTTGGCCTTCTCTACCTCTGTTGAAGCCTTTTTCAAAAGTACCTTCTCCTTCTTCTCCAGCATTTCCAGTGTCTGAAAATTTACAGAGCATAAAACAATTCATTTCGGCCTAAAAGAGTCGTCGCTATAACAAAGAACAGCAATTAGTGATGTTGGGAAAATCTTGTAGTTCAACTTAGCCATA